TATCCTTTAAGGACTTTTCCTCTTTAGTCGGAGATTTAGAGTGTGCTCTCTTGGTAGGGGATATACTTCTATCTGATGACTGTCGCTCCTTGGAAATGGATCTTGATCTTGATGTGCGTCTCTGAGAAACTGACCTTGACCGTTTACCTTTTTGCTTTTTAGTTCTTCTTAATATTGGGGATTCAGACTTTGAATTATGTGAAGATGTCCGTGACTTTGATCTTTTACATCGTTGAGGAGATGCTGACTCGGACTTTGTGCTATGAGGGCTCCTAGTTTTTGACCTCCTTTGACGAGCTGCAGGAGAACGGGACTCAGAGGGCCTGGGGCGTTGAGGTGACCGAGACTTACTTAGACGTCTTGGGCTTCTTGAACCTGATCGTCTGTGAGCAGATTTCGATCTTCTGTTTCTTTTCAAGCAGGATCTAGAACGTCTAAGGATCAAAATGGATCTTGAGCGTGTTCGCCTTGCTCTTCTGACAGATCTAGACCTGGAACGCCTTGCTCGAGGAGGTGTCTTCTTTCGAGAGCGGGACCTTGAGTGTCTTCCTCTCTGCACAGATCTGGACTGTGATCTTGAGCGCCGATTCTTCCGCCGAGAAATAGATTGTTTTGATCTTGAGCGTGAATGTCTTGGTCTTCCAGTTGACCTAGATCTTGAACGATGACCCCGTCGTGGAGACCTGGTCCTGGATCTTTTGGTCCTTGTGCGGGACCTCGAGTCAGAGCAATATGCTCTTCTTCCAGAGAGTGACCTTGACCTCCGTCCAGTTTTCTTTGTTACTTTAGACGGTGACCATCTTGATGGAGACCTAGAGCTTCTTCGTTTTGTTCGATCCTTCCCACCAGAGGCAGACACAGACCTGTCCCTTGAAGATGATCTGTCATTATGACGTTCTGATTTACCAGATGACTTCTTTGGAGTTCTAGAGCGACTGTGTTTGGAATTTTTCCCTTTAGTGTCTGAAAGTGATCGTGACCTTGACCTGGAGAGGGACTGTTTTTTCTTTTCTTTCTGATTCCCATTTGATTCCTTTGAGATGTCCTTCTGCACAGCTTGCTCTTTGTGCACATTCTCTTGCTTAGGGATAATATCAGGAAGTTCTTGAGCTTTACTAAAATTTTCATGTTCGCCAACAGCTTCCACCTTTATGTCCCTCTCTGCAATTATTGCATGTGCAGTCTCAGGAGACATCTTTCGTATCCCTCCTAATTTTAAACTTTCTTCTTCTTCAGTGTGATCAGAAGTCATTTCTCTCTTTTTATCTTCCAATAAAGGTGTGCTATCTTTAAATTTGTCTTTTGGAAATTTAGCTGCAGTGATACTGATAGGTGACTTTCTGTCCACCTTTAAAGATGCTACCTGCAATTTTTGTGATTGTTTGGAGTCTGGTTCTGATTCTGACCCTGACACTGAGGTACTCGCCGATCTTGAGCGAGATGAGGACTTTTTCTCCTGCTTTTCCTCCTCTTTCCGCCTTCTTTTTTTCTTCTTTTTCCCAACACGATGTTTCTGCTTTTTAACCTTGGCATCAGCTTCCACATCACCGAGGTCTGTAAAGACACATATAATTGTGCTTTTACTTGGCAAATTATAAATTTCAGATTAAAACTCATAGTAAATTGGTTTCAAATTGTGCATACATATATAATAATAATTTGCTAGATTGTCTGTTAATTGAGAAAACACAAACATACCTTCTGTACAGTTTTTTGTGGCATTCGCATGATCATCAGCCTCAGGGTTAGATGAGCCATCTTTATTCACACTGTAAAAAAGGAAAATATTTGCTTTTATTTAAAAGAAACTGAAAGCATCAAGGAAAAATTAAAATAAAAAAACACTTAGCGTTGCCAAGCAACTAAAACTCTCACCTTGTTCTTGTTTGGGAATCGCCATCTGAGTCTACTCCAGATTCAGAGCTACTATCCTTTTCACCCTTACGCTTCTTACGTTTCTTCTTACTTTTGTGTTTCTTATGTTTCTTGTTTTTCTTTTTTGGGGTCTCACTTCCATCCTTTACAGTAATGACCTCATACGCAACAGCAGTATCAGATGGCTCATCATCTGTTGAGATAACATAAAATGTTTACAAACAAATTTATGTGAACACAGCTACGGCATGAAAGAAGTGTTTTCTTTCATGAGGAAAAGCAGGAGTTGTTGTTGTGAATTTTATGTCACGAAAGCAGTGAGATTCTGCAAGAATGATTGTGAGAGTCTTGGAAGCATCAGTTTGGATAAGCTGAAAACGGCATGAAAGAAGTGTTTTCTAACCGTTATAAGAAAGTTATACAAAAAAGCTACATAATTATAATGCAGACATAGCTATACCTTACAAATGGCCAACAATAACTAAATAACAGTTGGTGTTAACAGTGTGAACCCCAAATATCCCACTTAGATCTAATAACATATACTGGGAATATCAGTTACGTTATCTGTGAGAAAAATGTGGAAGAAGTTATATACTGAAGCAAGCGGTCAGATAAATTGATGTGGCACTTCTGAAAATGTCTGAATATATGATAACATTGAAAGCACTTGTACCAACAATCACTGTGCCATTACCAACTTTCAACATGATTAAAGCACAATGCAAAAACTGTGACAATATAAAGGACTAAGACTTTGTAACTTACCAGGACCAGTGTTTACTGCACACTCCATTTCAAAAACTGAATCCCAATCTTAGTTTTGGTGATGATTTCTGTAGTCTGTAAATCGGACAAAAAAATGTGTTGACCTTGTGTTTTCACTCTGAAATGAAAAACAAATACATATAAATTCAACAAACCAACCAAACAACACCACACAAATAAAAAAGGATGGCGGTGATCATAAACATTTTATGCAAACATTTTGTTTTCTGTGATACATTGTTGTTGTGAATTTTATGTCACAAAAGCAGTGAGATTCTGCAAGAATGATTGTGATACAATCTTTGTGATTGTGATTGCAATACAGCTAGTGAAAATATTGTAAGCACAAATCTGAATGACTGGGCCAAAAAACCTTAATGTTGAGCCCTGAAAAGACAAAAATACTTATAATGCAACTTATATAAAGACATAAAAGTATGTTTTATGGGCTAGTTACATAATATCTGACACACTTGGCTGAGCACATAGAGCTTCTTTGCACTCAATCAGCAGGGGCCTCATGTATAAAACTTTCCATAGATTTCATCCTAAAAGTGTACGTACGCACAAAAACTAGATTTGGCGTACGCACAAAAGTTCAGATTTATAAAACGCCAGAACCTGCGCAAAAATCCTTTTATAAATCCCTGTCAGCGGAAGATTGTGCGTACATGCATCTCCTCCCCAAAATCACCATATATGGAGCTTACAACGCCTAGTTTTACTATGCATAACCTCATCTGCATATCATTTCCATGCATATTCCCATCCACGTGACACCATGTTTAACACCGTCAAAGGTACAAGGCATTAAGAAAATATGACATGCAGACTAAAAATGCAATTTGTACGGTACATTACATTGCTAAAAATCATTCACTGTCCTTGTCTTGTTTTCGAATAAATATATCAAAATGAATGTAAAAACAACATTGTATAAAACACTTCTCAGAGAATCTTTTTAGAATAGAGTGGATCTCTTTCTTTTTCACTGGCCAAAGCAGTATATAATTGTTTTAAACAAATCAAATGTTTTAGGATATTAAAATAGGCTATAGTTGAATCAGAAATAGGGTGTGTGTAAATAAGTGTACATAATTGCCTGACTCAGCGTCACTGACAAAATATTATAAAAAAGAAACGTGCAAATCTTATCGTTTGCTTCAGATTCTATCCTTCAATCACAATGCTATTTTCATAATGTTCTGAATGTTCGCGAAATAAACACCTCCGTGCAGCCTTGGTTGTGCAGTAGGCTAATATAGTCGGACCTATTTAAACTTGCCAGTGGACCGTTCGACCACCAAATCCAGCAGTGTCTGCCACAATATCGAAGTGCGCATCGTTCATTGATGTCACTGGTATTGGTACCGAATACTGAAATTTTGGTACCGTGACAACACTAGTAATGTCAATGCTTAACTCCATTAATGAGCAGAATATTTAAGCTAAATGTGTATATTGAAAGGAAAAGAGTCTGAAATCATAGGCTTCGCTATTACACCAGTAAAAGAGTGCGTACGCACGGTCTAGAGTACCCGTACGGTGCGCACATATTTACGCCAAGTTTTTTTTTTAATAAATCCCAGTATGTATGTGGAAAATTGCGTACGCACATTTCTATGCCGTACGCAACGTTTATACACGAGGCCCCAGAGCTGTTGCATAATAACTAGAGCCCGACCGATATATGTACCGAGAACCATGGATTTTCACTGGTATTGGTACCGAATACTGAAATTTTGGTACCGTGACAACACTAGTAATGTCAATGCTTAACTCCATTAATGAGCAGAATATTTAAGCTAAATGTGTATATTGAAAGGAAAAGAGTCTGAAATCATAGGCTTCGCTATTACACCAGTAAAAGAGTGCGTACGCACGGTCTAGAGTACCCGTACGGTGCGCACATATTTACGCCAAGTTTATATAGAGCCCGACCGATATATCGTTTTGCCGATATTATCGGCTGATATGAGCCTGTCGCCGATATATCGGTATCGGCGAATATGCCGCCGATATGAAATTTTTCTTTACAGAACATATAATGCAGATAAAATGCTGGAAATGGTGTAATTACTTAGTTTGTCCAGCAGAGCGCGCTCCATTGCCGATATATCGGTATCTGCCTTTTTTTTTTTACTCCCTAATATCGGTATCGGTCCCAAAAAACCCATATCGGTCGGGCTCTAATAATAACATCAGCCTGGCAAATCACTTTTGATTCTCACTAGAGGTCGACCGATGTATCGGTTTTGCCGATTAATCGGCACCGATAGTTGATTGCTGGACTATCGGTTATCGACAAAAATCCATGCCGATAGTTTTCCGGGTTGCGTCCATTGCTGGAGCGGCTG